ACGCCTGTTATTACTGGCACTCCAGACTGACACTTGAACTGATACCAAGAACWGGACAGGCAGGAAGAACTTGGGATAAAGAAACATTCATTCCACATAATGAAACAGTAACAAAAGATTTACAGAAGTTTACAATAGCCCCAAAGCCTGGGTTGCCAAAGTGCTAAAGTAGACACAAACTTTTCCTGTCTAATATATAAGCAAAGCACACTGCAATGCCAGAAGCAGCGAGCGAGTATGTACTAGCTAGCAGAAACAAGAAACCTCATGGCACTGGTCCAACTGTTTTTACAGAATGGCAATAATAACCGTCTAAATTTTACTAGGCAACGTTCTATTATATCCTAAGAGGACTGGTAAAAACAAGGGACAGTGGCTCAGACTACAGCTGAGGAACTGAAAATCGATCTTCCCCCTTCTTTTCCTCTCATTTGTGAAGATGAAGGATATACCACTAGTTAGAGTTGTGGGAGGATATTAACAAGAGGAACACAGATTAGTCCAGATTAAGATTCCCAGTGATCTGCTTTCAATCCAATGTGAGGATCCCACAGGTTAACAGTGGTCACTGTAAGAATGGACTGGCATCTTTCAATCCATTCCTTAAACCTGCCAGCATGCTTTGTTTGCATCGGCTTAGGCGATACTCAGGGATCAGCAAATTACAGCTGTTGGCCAGATCCAGACTGGTGCCATTTTTGGAGATAAAGTTTTACTGGGGTGCAATTATGCCCATTTGTCTGTGCACTGTTTATGGCCGCCTTCATACCTCAGTGGCAGAGATGAATATTTGCAACAGAGACCTTATGGCCTGCAGAGTCAAAAATATTTTGCTTCCAAAATACTTAGCTGACTCTGGAATATAGCTTGAAATATAGGTTGTGAGCAGGGAGCTTGCGCGCTGTTGTGGCATGGTGTCAGGTAGAACATCAAGCTGGACACGTCCTGAGATGGAGGGTGGAAGGTGTGCTAGTAGCAAGAAGTCAGACAGCATGGTGTGTTGGCAAACTCACAACACAATTACGTTCTCACTGAAATATTCGAGGGCTATCTCATAGTACACGAGATGCTGCTGTGAGGGCAGCATACGGGTCTACTCAACTGCACAGTTTAAGAAGAACAAAATGAATGACACAGACACTTTTATAACTGTTAAAATGACTGCTTTGTAATTGCTTCTCATTTAGACTGTATTATTACTTAATCTCATTAAAAGCTTTTAAATCCCGTCGAGTATGCTAGCCAAATATGTGGTACTTAATTTGAATTAGGAATATGAAGACACTGAGAGAAGGTGGTGATTTTAAACCATTTTCCAGTCCTCAACTCTGGCGAATCCCTAATTAGCCTCTGATCTGGAGTGTTCAATACATATTCATGAAGATAAAGATGCTAACTTGAACCCAAAGATAAAAAGATTTATTTTTTGTTTTGTTTGTTTTGTTTTCCAAAGAGATTGAATCTTTCTAAGGAAACTATCCCAAACTAGTAAACTCTGCTCTGCTTTGGATCATGAATGCCATATTTTTGTTGGACCTTCAAACGGTCTGTCACCAAATATTTGGGATTCTAAAGAACATGCTAGAAGGATCTAATAACATATTTTTAAGGACAAACTAAGGCAGAAACCATTTTGAAGTTTTTGTAGACTAGCCAAGAACACACTGAGAAGAATGAGAGAATGATGGAGAGAGAACCAGATCCCTTCTCCATCCCCCAAATCTGAACCACACCTGTAACAGACTTGGGAAAGACTGAGAAAGGAAAATAAAGAGGTGGGGGGAGTGGAGAGGAAGGCGATATAATGGGAAGGGGGTGAGGGAGGGGCTTTGGGAGTTTGGCACTGTAAGAAGTTACAGCTGCTGGAGAGCGACAGGAACTCGGCCCCCTCTCTCCCCCACCCCAGCCAGATAGGCTACTCCTACAGAAACCACCGTGGAGCGCCGAGCCTCCTTGCTCTTCCCATCGAATGTTCCTCAGCGAGGTCCCTTTAACAGACTGAACAAAGACCCAGTGGAAGCAGGTATGTGCCCAAGGCGTGGCAACACTGCATAGCTCAGCTTCTCAAAACAGAGAGAACTTCACAGGCACAGACATGCAGGTGTGTGAAACAGGGGGAGCGGGAGGGAGAAACAAGAGCCTGAGTCATTATTCTCCCTGATCTTCCAGTAGGTTGAAGAGCCACAAGAAAAGCATTTTCTAGACCAGCTTAAGGTTCATCTCTGGGGCTACATCACATCATTTAAAGAAGGGAAGAAAAATCAGTTATAGGGCTGGGGATGTGGCTCAAGCGGTAGCGCGCTCGCCTGGCATGCGTGCGGCCCAGGTTCGATCCTCAGCACCACATACAAACAAAGATGTTGTGTCCACCGAGAACTAAAAAATAAATATTAAAAAATTCTCTCTCTCTCTTTAAAAAATATAATAAAAAAGAAAACTCAGTTATAAATGGTATCAGAGCCTACGGAAGCAGCCACGGAGAAGCACGACTGACCAGTGGGCTACACTGCTCAAGGGTCTCCAAGCGCCTGGGTCAGCTGACTGCTCCAGTTCAAAGTGAGCCAATGTTTTAATGCTCGCTTTGTGCCCCTCCCCACTCCCAGATCTTCCTAAAATTAACAGTGCCATAGAAACAGTGGGGCTGTTGATAGGTTATCATCCATCATCAGGAGTCAGAACTAGTGTCCTAACAATTCTGTGACTGCAAACTATGACAGTTTGACACCTCGAGGACAGGGCAACCTCTACAGATACTGTGTTTAATGTCGATTTTAAATCCCAGTGAGCACAGTGTCTAAGATGTGCTATAAACTCCTCCTCTGTCCCTGTTTAGGGTCCCTCTCATTCCCCCCATCACCACCGTCCTGTCCTTATTTGTATGTCCCTGCCATATTCCTTCCTGACACCAGATTCATACAGAGAAATGCCATTTCAAATTGCATGGGGTCTACAGCCATCATGGTAGCTGCCACATAAATCTTGTAAAAAGACAAGAAAATATACAAGGAAAAAGGTATCTCTAATTTCCCAGTTTACAAAGTTAAATCCAATGATATCCTTCTCCTTTCCCCTAAATCTTCATTACTCTTTATAGTCACACTGTAGCATCGAAACATGGTCATTTCATGAGGGAGAACAAATTATTTGTATGCTGTGAGCAAGCAATGAAGTCAGGCCCAGGTCCTACATTAGAAGGAGGTTGCTCAAGAGTACCACGGTAAAGAATCATTCATCTGTGAGATCACAGAATAAGTCATTAGGCACACTGGCGTACTCTATGAAACAAAAATACCCTGTCCTATCTGTCATCAAGTTATAATTTCTTTGCAAAGTACCTTTATCTGGTAGTTAATACAGGGACTTCCAGTACCAGCCAAAATGGAATAAGCCCAGTTTAGCCTCTCTCTCCCAATTACAACGAGAATCACTGAACAAAAGTACAAAAAGTAACTACCTCTGCCCAAGCCACCCCAGCAGCAGGACTGGTGAGGAAATTCAAAACTTGGAGAATAATCAGTAAGGATGTGAAACCATGGAGATCAAAGACAGGAGGACATCTTTAAATTGTTAGAAGAACGGTCAAGTTGGAATTCTACCTACAACACAAATGTCCCTTAGGAACAATTGTAAAACAGTCATATACTGAGAAGGAAAAATAAAGAGCTCATACTCCTAGATATTTACCCAAATGAAATTAAATTAAAGTCAACATTTATATAAAAACCTATACACAAACATTTAGATTATATCTGTATTCATCATTACCCATGACTAGACACAAAGCAAATGTTCTGCAACAGAGGAACAGATAAACTATGGTACATCCATACAATGGAATATTACTCAGTAATAAAAGGGGAGAAACTATTCAGACATACAACACTCTGACTGAATCTTAAATGCATTATGCTAAGTGAAAGGAGACAGACTCAAAAGACCCTAATAGTGTATGATTCCATTTATAGGGCATCTGGAAAATGTAAAACTACAGGGATGAGAGCTAATTAGTGATCGACAAGCATTACAGGTGGGGCCAAAGCTTGTCTACAAATGAGTAGATAACTACAATGGGATTATTATTTTTTTTGGGGGGGGCGGGGTATAACTGTTATGTATTTTAAACATAATGGTAGTTACCTGCCTCTATGCATTTGTTAGAACTCAGAGAATTATAACCCAAAGAGTGCATTTTACTACTGATTTTATATGCTAGAAAACAACTAAAAAGCAGGGAGTTTAAAATCTTGATATATTTTCTAGGAAATTTTTTGACAATTCAATTGCATGTACTAATTACATGTACTTAAAATTAACAAGCAGCCAAGAGTTTAACTAAAACTTTTGTTACAAAATTGAAACCTTTGTTACAAAGCATCATCCAAAAATAAAATCAATTTGATCTTCACAGTTTTGGATAAATCCAGAAACTCTAAAGACAGAACACTATCACATGAGATTGATATGTAAATTTAGATATAAACTTTAAAATTCTTGACAATTATATAAACTTTTCCATTTCCATATTACAAATGTGGCTATGGTCACAATATTTATTTATCACCCGGTATTTAAAATAAATAGACAATATCATAAATGTTGCACACATACATTATTATTATTGTTGTTGCTAGGAAAAATTAAATCATGTAATTTAACCACAAGCTCAGCCTTGATTCTTTTTTTTTTTTTTTCTTTTTTGGTACTGGGGATTGAACTCAGGGGCACAACTACTGAGCCACATCCCCAGCCCTACTTTGTATTGTATTTAGAGACAGGGTCTCACTGAGTTGCTTAGGGCCTTGCTTTTGCTGAGGCTGGCTTTGAACTCTCCTTCCTCCTGCCTCAGGCTCCCAAGCCACTGGGATTACAGGCACATGCCACCACGGCTGGTGTTCAGTTTTGACTCTTCTAACACTGGTCTAAAGTACTCTGAATACCTGCCATATTCCTCATGCTCTGTAGAAACTGGTAGAATAAAATAAGATTGAATTTTAACATACCCTGTCAAAGAGAGCAAAAAGTTGTCTCAAGACATCGGAAACAGGTAATTTTAAATACTCAGCAAATTCTTCAATTCCAATTCTTCCACCTTTTGAGGAACGTGCAATGGATGCATATTCATCCAGATGCTTACGGATGCCATCCCAATCCAATCTAAACAAGAAATAAAAAGGTTACTACTTCTTTTCAGTTGACATGGACATTTTATAGACAGTTCTAGTCATTTGACTGAGGGAAAAATATTTTATGTATTAAATATGAATCTGATACATTTTTTTCAAAGGAAATCAAATGGGAGAATCAAATGGGTATTTAAAAGTGTGTGTTGAAAAGAAATAAAACAGTGTGTTGGAGATTAAGAAAAATCAAAAAATACAAATACATGTTGTACATTAGGCAAGCATTTAGTTTTTAAAAGCATATCTGTATAACTCAAAATACACTAAATATCTGACAGAGAAAAAGTAAAGACAAACAATGGGGTGGAACAATAAATAACTTATGAGAAGAAAATCAAAAAGCAAATTTTAACCTCAACATTATTAGCACGTCAATCGTATTTACTGAGTTTTTACGAAAGGTTATAATTCTTGTTTCAAGGAAATTCCAGGATGATAATGAAATTGTATTTCAGAAAATGTTGTGAGAAGGAGATTTGGTAGACTAGAACTTCCTCAAATGTGAGAAATTCTCAGGGTGATAAAAATACTGGAAAATATACAGAAGCTTACCTCACATCCTGCCTTTGCCTTGTAGAACTCAACAAGTAGCCTAATGCATATTTAAAAATCCAATTTCAGTGACTGGCTACATTTATCAAATCGAGGGAACATTGTGAACATAATATCAAAACATTTTGTTATCTAGAAGGTATTTTTCCATATCTATATACATTTTCTATATCACTTGTTGAAATGTTTTATTTTAATATTGAGCTTTGATATAGTAACAGGTTCTGCAGCTCCTTCCTAGGGAGGATGCCAAGGTCTGTTAAATCAAAGTTGTACAAATTCCTAACAGGGTCGAGAACAGGATGAACTGAACATGAGACGGTTTGAGGGTTTCACCTTTCATACCAGATAGCTCCAAGGGAAGGTTCTAAATGGTTTAAATTAGATCACAAAAATACAAATTTTTAAAGGTGCCTTTTAAAAAAGTAATAACAAAGACCCAGAAAAGAAGAAAAAAGTTGACCTAGGCAAAGTATTGAATGTTCAATGATGGTCAGAATTTCCATTACACAGGTCAATTTATGTCCCCCATGGGAAGTACTGACTACCATATGCCAGTACCACCTAATGATGCTGTCCTCCCTGTAAGCAGAGGGCAAGACTGAGCAACTGTTCTGAGCTATTTGAGTAGAGAGGCAATTTGTCTGGATTCATGCTTACTATCTTTTGGTTTCTTCCTGGGACTGGTGAACAGATCTCCGGAAGGTTTTTTTTTCTTTTTCTTTTTTTTTGCATTTGGATCCAGGGCTTCATATACGCTAGGCCAACCCTCCACCACTGAGCTGCATTCCCAGTCCTTTTTAAATATTATTTTGAGGCAGGGTCTCACTTACGTTGGCAAGGCTGGTCTCAAACTTATGATCTTCCTGCCTTTGCATCCCAAGTAGCTGGGATTACAGGTGAAGCTAACTATTTTTGAAAAAACAAAACTAGGTGAACAAAATAGTCGGTAAATTTACAACCCTGGCTTTCCTGACAAACAACATCTGGTCCTAGAACTGAGCATCAATAAAGGAAAAGAAAATAAGCACACAGGATTTCAGATCCCTTTTGGACACCTTTATGAAAGTACAATAATTTTAAAATGTACTTACTTTAATTTCTGGCTAATTTTAGTAAATTCCACCAACCCAGCTTCCATGGGCAATGTTAGCTGTCCTGCTGAAATCATCAATCTGCAGTCTTCATAGGTATGATCTGTCACGGGTATCCCCAGAGCTCTAGAAGCATCAAGAATAAAACTGAAATTCAATTTTTTTTTAAATAGGAATGATTTTTCATCAGCTCTGAACTGTTCAACAAATAATAGCAAAAGGAAAAGTATTTACTACTTTTTAGGCCAGTAGCTGTGGCTTTCTTTGCCAAAGAGACATACTTTTCTACTTCTTCAAAGACTTAACTGGGGCCCCTAAAATGTTAGGTCTGCATGCTTCTGTCCATATAGCTGATAATTTCTGTTTTGTTGACTTGAGTTTCACGGAAAGCAATCAGAAGACTTACGTCCAAGTTTTTCGGGAATCTTTTACTAACTGTGAACTTTCTGACAATTAACCCAAGCTTCATTTTTCTTGGCTGCACATAGGAACAATTACTGTCCAGGTTTAAGGACAAAATAAGAATGCTAGTAGAGACACTGCTGGAACAGATAAACGGCATCTGTGTGCACTGGACGTGGACCGTCCATCTAAACCCTCAGCATCTGTGCTTCTTCATCCTTCATAACTAGAGGTCACCTTCTTCCTGAAAGCAATCTTCTAAATTACTGAAGCAAATTGATACTAAGCTGGTATTTCTTGCAGACCTCACCTCCCTTTCCTCAAAGGAAACCAGAACTCCTCTCTACCTCACCGCTGCTCAATGAGACTGAGGCTGACGGCAGTGAGGTGGATCAGAAAAGATGTGTATTAGTGAGAACTGCAAAGCACACCGAGTACAAGAAGAAAGGCTGTCCACACATGGTAATCATTTCCTGAAGCTTCTTCTTCACTAAAATTTTATCTGCAAATATTTAATGAAAATCATAGGATTATGTCTTCAATTTTATTTGACTTTGTTAAATCACTGCTAGGAAGACTGACTGACTGAATGAGTGCAATTAGAATAAAGCAGTTTTTTCTCTATACATAGTTTTTCTGGGCTGTTTTTGATTAACACATATTTTGGTGTAAGAATACTTAAAAGGGAAAATAAAAATGTTAAATATTTCAGGAATTATAATAATAAACAGTACAGCATAATAATGAAAAGGTTGGGTTTGGGGAACAGGAATGTGGATGTGGTTCCAGCCCAGGCACTACCTATGATTTGGGGTGACTGACTGTTCCCGGAGTTCACATCCTCTCTCCCTCACGGGTGGCTGAGAGGTGACGCCAGGCAAGGGAAGGTTCCAGCACAGTGCTTGGTGACCCTCTGCCACCACCACTGCAGCCCCCCACCACCTCACCTGCTCTGCTCCTTTCTACTTCCAGATGCTCTTACCTCCTCCTTTCCTGCCCAGTCTCACAGCAAACAAAGCCAGGAGACGGGCACTTCCCACAAGGGGAAGGAACTTTGGGGAGGACTTTGTGCAGCTGATGGAGGTTTTTCTTACTCTTTAAATAAGGCCCTTATACCCTGCCTCCTCACAAATTAAGAAAAAGCTGCCTAAACAAATCCCTTCTCTACTTTGGGGCACATTTTGGGGAAGCCAAAATATCTGGTATAAATTATCTAAATTCCCTGTACTTGTTTTGTAACTTTTGGACAGAAACTGGTATCAGAAACAAAATACAGAAAAGCAAATTTCGTAGCTGGTTTAGAAATTAGATAAAATAAGAATTCTTAAGTACACCTAGAAACAAAAAAATTTTTTGATATACATTTGTTCTATTTTGAATATAAAATTATTATTCTGCTATAAAACATTAAGATATGTATGTGTACATATGTCAGAATTAATTAAGATTATGTATGCATATATATTTTATATATATATATATATATATATATATATATATATATATATCTCAATCAGAATAATCAGGCTATAAGGCCAATTTCAGCTATATTCCAAATTCCTGTTGAATTCTTACTAAAGAGAAAAAAATACTGCAGGTCTGTTAGCTCCAAACCTCCTACTGGTGACTGAGGGAGGTGGTGCCTGGGCAGGGGTGCACATCTGGAGGGCCAAGGCTGCCTGGGTGGTGTAGCAAAACACATGCTTTCATTACAAGACGGGGTGATTTATCTAATTAGAATACCAGCCAGCTAAAACACCCTTAAGTGCAGGAAAATATATGCCTATGTTTTGCAGTCTCTAAATCCTAAATTTATAGCCATTCCTTCACAAGAGTAACCTTTTTCCTTTTCTGTGCATCTTTTCAAACCTTTGCAAACTTCCCCTTCGTGGTGCTCACAGCCCTGATGACTCTGAAACCCTCAGGGGTGGGCAGCTGCAGGGGAGCTGAGGGGAGGGGTGGGGTGCTCAGCAGGAGCTGCGAAGCCACCTCGAGGTGCTGCCTGCAGTGACGGGCCAGCTGGGGAGAATCCACCTGTGGACAGTGCCGATTGGTCTCCTCTGGCTGTGCTACCCTGGTCTTGCAGGTAAAGACTCACTTCCATTAGTTTGAGGCTGAAGCTGGGAAAATACACATATCCCTGGGCTTATGTACCAAAGTGAGCTGGAGACTGAGGCCCTCAGTGGGGGTGGGGGAGGAATTTGAAAGCTATGTTAAATGACATTTACCAATGATTTTCAAATTATTTACTGCTTGAAATCTTATACAGACACTTACTCTGCCATTAAATTGCGGACTCTATTGGCAAAAAGGACAGGATCGTTTTTTTCTGCATCACTTGGTACTTGAACAGGCATAAACTGAAAGACAAATACAACTTCCATAAAAATCCTTAGGCCTGAGACATTTCAAATGATAAGTAAATTAATTTATAAACATCAATGAGTAAGTCAACCAATAACAGCTGCCATCCATTAAGCACCTACTGTGTGCTGGGTACTTTACATTAGGGTCTTTATATGATTAGCTCTCTCACCAATTCCCTGGGGCCAGCCATACCATTTTCATTTGATGATGAATAATGGGACTTGAAGGGGTTAAGTAATATAGCCACGGCCACAGATAAATGGCAGGGCCATGGTGTGAAAAAAAGAGAAAGTTTTGTATAAGGAGATGCCACTTCTTCCAGATTGTCCTGTTCTCAAATCTCGTTAATCATGTTGAAGATTATAGGCACTGGTGACTCAGAGATGCTTAAGCAAGACTAGACCAGGTCCCTAGTTTTGAGCAATAACTTCAGCGGTATAGAGAGGAGGCACCCAAGAAGAGGAGGAGGAGAGCAGGGGAAGCCTGGAGGCCCCCCCAGTGATCCACGCAAGGCCTGCACCCTGGAATGCGGGAAGCAGAGCACGGCTGGGTGCAAGGCACCTTTTTTTTTTATATTCCATATACATTTTGAATCTTTTTATTACAGTTGACTTGTTTTATGAAATATTTAAGTATAGAAAAGCAGATGGCAACAGACCTTTACAGATAAAACTAAAGTTCCCTATTTATTATTTTCTTCTTTTTTTTTCCATATTTGTATTGGTATATTATAATGGTATATAATGATGCAATTCATTATGCACACTATAGAACAATATAAGATCAACCGTCGAGGACTTACAGAAGCACATGCTATATGTCATTTTACTTTTCAAATTCATTTTACTAATTTGTCCAAAGGAGAGGGGCACGGTGCACAGAGAGCCCTCCGCCGCCCTCTGCTCTGTGGGCCTGGAACAGTCCTGTAGTCTTCCAGGGCCTCAGGCCCCTCCCCCGTCAGTGAGACTCTCTGACCAGATGATCTAAGGTCCTTTCCTTAGCTTTCAACAGACCATCCAGTTATTGTTCAAGGTGGAAAAATAAACTAAGCCACCAGAGGTCCCCCTATCACTTAAGTATCCAGAATAACAAACTCAACGAATAAACGGGACAAAAATTGCCCCCCCCCATCCTGATAGTGAACATTTTTCTATTTGCTTTAGTAGGAGGCTCAAGGAAGGAGAAAGTTGGTTGAAAATCAATGCTCATAAAATCTCCTGCAAAACGGTATAAGGAAGAAAGTTTTCAATGCCAAATAATTCTTCATTTTTTAAAAAAGCCAAGTGACTATTAATAATGTACTTGATTTATAGGTCATAAAAGCACACACTGAAAACCCTGAAAAATAAATGGCTGCTACACTGTTAACCCAACACCATACTGCGAACTGCGGGTTTGGTTTCTATGCGTGCAGGCAATATTTTCCATAAAATGATTTTTAATTACTCTCATATTGGCAAGGTATTTTATTTTTTGAGGAAATACATTCCAACTGGAGTATAAAATAACTAAAAGCCTGGGTTGGACCCTCTTGGGCCCTGAGGGCACCATGCCTCCTGAGAAGCAATTCAGTGGCAATTCTTATAAAGAGTCCCCTCTCCTAGGATAAAATCTGGCCCTCCAGACTACATTTCCATTTTGTACCAAGTCATTCAAGATTCATAGCGTGAACACACACCCCTTATTTGGAGAGGAAGATTAGCCAAAAAGAGGGGAACCTGATTGCTGCTACCTGGTATGGCCCTTAGTGCACAGTTAAATAAGTACCCCAGGACTGCGGGACCCCAACTTTCCCTTCCTCCTCCATCTTCTCTCATCATGCTCAGTACTCACACTGATGGCCCATGGGACATCTTATCACAGAGTCACTTCATCTAGCACTTTTCTCAATTCCACCTCAGCCATGGAAGCAAACGAGACCCTCACCTCTTCCCCAGTCAGCGTCCCCATGGGCCACGAGCACTGCTTCTCCCCTCATCTGGTCCTGCACAGACTGCGACAATGTCATGGTCACACCAGGCCCTACTCACCCCTCCTTACCCGCCCCCTCTGGCAACATCTGCCTGGGCATGGGAGTCAGGCACTTCCTAGAGCCTCTCTGTCACCTGGACACGCTCACTTCTGCCCACCTACAGAGACCACCGCAGACCCCCTGGATCCCGCCTCTCCCTCCTGTTAGAGACGGGGGAGGGAAGCTAAAGGAGGTCACACCTGCTGCTGCTGCTGCCTCTCAGGTTGCAATCCCACCTTGACCTCACCCTCCCTGGCCAGCAGCAGGCCACTTCCGCCTTCTGAAAGACGATGGTCTCTGGGAACTTCTATTCCCTTTGCTACTGCACCTGAGACGGCTCCCCCGCCCCCACACCCCTGTAACTGTACCACCCTTCCCAAGTGAGGACCAGACTAGCTGACACATTTCCCACAGTAACACCCCTAGATCATGCTTTTGGCCCCATAGTCCCCCACCTCCTCTTGGGCCTTAAACAGCACAAGATATTTACAGCTCCCACTAACCAGAGCCAGGCCTGGACATCAGTGCTCAGAAAACTCGTTTATTCAGTGTGTCTTGACCACATCAAGCACATTCCTCTCTGCTAAATAAAGGACGAGCGGGAACAGGCAGACCGATGAGCGATGACACTGTTCAATCTTTTCTTTTTTCTTCTATTAGAAAAGAATTTAGATCAATCTTAACAAATGTGTGGTTCTAATTCTTCCTGTGATTTTTCTTTAAGTCTTCAAAGACAGAAAATGCAAAAGAAAGAAGATATTTATGAATAATTCGATGCTTCTTCCCCCAAAGAAGAGAGAGATCCATCCAGATGAGAAGGGAAATAAAAGCTAACAGGCACTGAACACTTGCCACACGCAGCACATAAGAAACCTTATTAAGTCCCCACACCCTATAGAAAGATGCTCCTGTAACCACGGTCCAGAGAGAACACAGGCTCAGGGAGGTTGAAGTAATTTTCTTGAACACAAAACAGGCAAGCAGTAACAGAACCGGAACAGAACTGCCAGCTAATAAATACTCTATTTACAATGCTCCATTCTCTACTAGTATTCATGCATTTTAACCAAGTGCAGAAGAAATTAGCTTGGTTAGAACAGTATTATTGGGGTGGGGAAGGTGGCAGGAAGTGTGCAGTTGTAAGATGGAAGTTGTCTAAAAGGTTTATTTTAGGTTCAAAATTACAAATAATTTTTAGTATATCTGGTTATTTTGATAAGTCTACAGCAACCCAGTGACTCACCCAGATTTCTACTCCTGTGAGCTCTACTCAAGTGCCTCATAGAGATGTACCTTTTTAAGAAAATCTTTGATACTGTATTTTTATTGCACCTTTTCTGTGTTTAGATTTGCAAGTACTTAGCACTGTTAAACCACCCACTGTGTTCAGCAAAGGAACATGCAACACAAGTCTGTGGTGAGCATGCACCAGCCAATATATTCCCCATCTCTCAGGAGTGTAGTAGGCTCCCATCTAGGTCTGTGCAAGTGCACTCTATGATGTTTGCACGTGGACAAAACCGCCCAACAACACCTTCCTCAGAGTGTGTCCTCATTGTTGAGGGAGAGACACAACTGTTTTGACCTTCCTTATGTAACTGGCTCTTTGAAGACTAAAAAAGTGACATATAGGGCTGGGAATGTGTCTCAGAGGTAGGATGCTTGCCTAGCATGCCCAAGGCCCTGGGTTCAATCTCAGCACTATATTCTTACACAAAAATAAATAAAATAAACAGCTGGACACAGTGGCACATGCCTATAATCCCGCAGCTCAGGAGGCTGAGGCAGGGGGATCTCGAGTTTAAAGCCAGATTAAGCAACTCAGTGAGACCCTGTCTCTAAATAAAATACAAAATAGGGCTGGGTGTGTGGATCAGTGGTTGAATGCCTTTGAGTTTAATCCCTTATACCCCAAAAAATAAAAAATAAAATAAAATAAATAGAAAAAGGAAAAAAGTGAGTTATCTGTATAGGTGCTGACCATAACACTCATTATTAACTACAGTCCTTTCCTAAATCAGATATGCTTTTCAAATGAGAAAAGAATTCCTTTGTAATACTGAAGGCAATGAATTGCTCAGCAGGATTTTAGGCCTAATGCCAGCCACTATAAGCCCACTAAGAGCTTTGTAAAGGAATTTTGCAAAGCCAAATATGTCTACATGCTGACAGATAAATCATTTTAATGCATGTGTAATACACTGAGTGGCTTCTAACATACTTTGAATGCATCCTGAGATACAGCCCATAAGGAAGTCAAGCTTGCATTCAGAAACTGGCTGGTGGCCCCACGGTCTGACTTACCACCAACCCTCTCTTGTCAAGTCCTCTAGGAGGCTCTTAATTTCTGCCATATTTTGCAGTGCTTCTTGCTGGCTAACTTATTCCCAATGCCCTGATAAACACTTGGCTTACAGGCACAGAGAACACACGAGGTGGCTGCTTGATGAGGTGATCACTTTTCCACTTTGCAATGTCACTATTCAAAGGGTAATTTTCAGTGAATCATTTCACAGTCCTCATTGCTCAAGGATGCCCAGGATGGTTCCACAGGGCATGAGGTTTGGAACTTACCTTTTTAATATCCAAGAGTCAATAAAATAATATCTTTTCCAAAAAAAAAAATATCTCTCTGTTAGTGAAGCAGAGAGGGATGGAGAAAAGGATAAGAAAATTCCCTGTCTATTATATTCACTAGATTTCAAACAAGTGAAGAGTTTGGTAATCATCATTCCTGACTAGAGACGTGTGAAACTAAAGGACACGGCCGTTGATATTCTGAGATGTCCTGTGACTCACAAAATTAAGAGTGACTAGAAGAGCTCTTTAATAATCCTCTCAAAGTTCACTGTACAAGCCACAAACCTAAGACTATCTTCTGGAGTGATACACCTTGAATTAGATTTATCTAGTATTCAAGAAGTTCTAAGTGTGTGTCTAAAACAGTAACAAGGATTTCAGTCACTTTTAAAGTAAAAGAGAAAAGAGGGGAGCACTCCCAACCACCAAGACACTGAAACGGGAACAAAAAGAACAGAGACCTCAAACCAACCTCTATGTGGGAGGCTCAAGTTCTGCCTCCACAGGCGGGGTGGAAAAGATGGACCTCAGCGGCAGGGCCCAGCTGCTCACAGCCTGAGCCGGGGCGTGGACAGACTCAGGGACTGAAGGGCTGCTCAGATACACTTTTTAGTTATATCTGAACAGTGGGGAATTTAAATATTCAGATATCATAAAGTAATTGGAGTTGCCGGGTGAAAGGCAGCATTGTAAACATAATTACATAATAATTAAAAGAAGATGACTAAAGTGAAGTCCCTAAACACCCACCCTCTCACCCCGCACCACAATTCAAATACATCAAATCCCCACTGAGTCAACTGTTTTCAACCGGCTGAAAGCCATTTTGTTCCTGAAGTTACAGAACAAAGGGTATATTCTTTTCTTTGGCCAGAAAATATTATCTAAACAGGTCTCCGAAGCAGCTGGAGAATGCAAATATTGTCATTTTAAGAAGAAAGAAAGCAAGCCATGACACAGAAAGGAAATGTGGTAATAGCAGTCAGGGCAAAAATGAGGAATTTACATACCTCTGTTGTAATGTAGTTTGACCGCTGACACTTGTGCGGAACAAAGGGGTACAGTTCTCGTGCACTTCCACATCTGTTGCTAGGTCTCGTTTTAGCTGGAGAGCGGTCAATTTGGAGGAAAGGACAGAGGTGTGTGTGTGTGTGTGTGTGTGTGTGTGTGTGTGTGTGTGTGAGAGAGAGAGAGAGAGAGAGAGTGATATCTTTCACATTTGCAGAGAAGACAGCATGGCTGTTTTAACTACAGGCTTTATTGTTTTTTTAGAAAAGGAGAACTGGACTAGACTACCTGAGCAGCTACTGCAAAAGAAAGATCTGTGCTCAGGATGACTAGGGATTGTATGATCTAGGGCTTCCTGAAATACACTTTCAGGTGATATCCAGAGAAAAATGGCTTCTGTGGTCCAATATTTCAAAGGCCCTAAAAAGTACTGAGAAAAGAGACCTAATCCATTTTGTTTACCCTGGTACTTCCTGAAGGGCACAGAGCTCTGGATGCGGGTCTGTGGAATTCAATTCATAACAGGTCTATTTTACTTTGTTGGCTGGTTTAGCCACTCAGCCATTTAGAAGTTGTCAGTAATTCCAGATGACATAGGAGAGCAAATTATATTTCAGAATGAGTTTAACTTCAGTGAAATGTTCCTTGAGATTTGCATGTTGCTTGCCTTCCTTGAAACTGTCAGTTTTGTTTCACATCATTTGTTTTAAAACCAGCTCAGCATCTTAGCATGACCAAAAAACATAGCACCAGCTCTTGGATGTTTCTAGAAGAAAGCAACAACTAATCCGTGCCCTTCAGAGCTGTTTCCCTAACATGACTCTAGGGGTTCAGTTTGACAATATGGATTTATATACACAATTTATAAGATACCAGGGCTTTTTTTTTTTTTTTTTTTGGCCCTGGAGATTGAAGTAGGGGTGCTTTACTACTGAGCTTCATTCTCCACCTTTTTTTTTTTTTTTTTTTTTTTTTTGAAGCAGGGCCTGGCTAAGTTGCTGAGGCTGGACTCAAACTTGCAATGATGCTCCTACCTCAGTTTCCTGAGTTGCTGAGATTATAGGTGGGCACCACTATGGCCAGAAAGACAGAGATTATTTTAAAGGTGGTAAAACTTCACATCTGGTCTCTCCAGACTAGAAATTCAAAACTAAAGGAAAAGCCAAATCTCAAGTTCCAAGGTTATATTTTGAATGACTTACCTCGATTTCCACCTTTGTGAAGGGCTGGCAGAAAGTCAGCACACAGAGCTGGATGCTGAAAAGAAAAAAAGAGAGGGCTATATCTTCATGTAGCAGCTAATGTTACTCCACAGACTTACTCTACACACCAACGCCACCAAAGCACACTTAATTAACATGCAAATATATGTATGTATGTGTGTGTGTGTGTGTATATACATATATTTACTATAATGCTATAAGTGCATATAAATGCTACACCACAGGTAAAATACTTCTTGGACTGAGACAACCGTTTTAAAGCTAAAATACCAAATGCCATACCAAATATGCATTTGTGAGTCAGAACCACAGCTCAGCAGTGTAAACSCCCAATTTGAAGTTTCCTTGACAACAAGGACTCAAAGGCCTAAGCTGCTAGAGAAGCTATCCAAAGGCACATTTTTTAGGGAAGCTCCTGAGTATAGCACTGTTTCTTGAAAGAGGTTAGCTAGCTGTTCAAAGACAATTTTTGGAACCCCTGGGAAAGATTTCTGTGGGATGCTTTTAGTTTAGCCTCATTAGTCAGTTGATCCAGAAATCAGGCAGAGTGGATTAGACTATACGTTTAACAAAATGACCAATCAACCCTTTTCTGCTAGAAAGGAATTTAAATACTGTTTATTTGTAAAAATTACTTGAAGAGACATACTTGAGGAAGTGATGGGTCAAACAAGGACTTCAGTTAAAACAAGAAATTTCGGAAGTAAATTAACCACTTCCATTAAATATGTTATCGTTTGGGGACAGGGTCTCAAAATGTAGCATTTGGAAAACACAAAATTGTGCTTTTTAAAGATTTTGTTTGTTTATAAGTCCTAAGAAATCCCTGATTCTTCAAGTATCTTTTTTCACGGTTTCCTGTATTCACTCTCTTGTTTTCTTTTTTCCTTTATCACATCTTCCCAGGTTAGAAGACTAGATTAAGCCACTCTATTTTCTAGCCCATTCCCTCTGCAGAAAGCAATTTATGTGATTCATGTCAGCTTGAGCTGTTATGTAACCCACACCCCCCAAAAAAGCCATACTGACCACACCATGAACCCCGAGTCACTATCTCTATAGGGAACTAAATTTGGAAAGGCCCGAAAGATGACACACATCAGGAAGTATACATATGTACCCACCCGATTTTTAGGAACATCTATTTCTAAAATGTTCGTGGCACTACTTGTTTCTCCTAATTCTCTCTTGCATAAAAGCTAGGAACCAGCTACTCAAAATCATGGTGGCATGAAGTCTAAAGAATAAACAGATTTCTTACAGAGTAGAGGACAATGCACTGTCTACACACCCCTTACGGAAGCATAATAGGAACGTAATTGTTTCACATGTGCGAAGGGTTATTCCACTGACCCATTCGTCTCATTAAAGTGTATTATTTCAAAGAATCTGGCAGAGTCCTTGAAGGCAAATGATGATTTCCTTTTTATTATTTCTGAGTGGTCATCACCTATCAGACTTTACAAGGGGAACTAAACAAAAGATCTTGAAGGAAAGTGCGGTTCTACAGGTTCTGTTCTTTTTCAAGGCCCATTTTTAGCTTGGTTCATAGTGAAACTGTTGCTGTCCTCACTCAAGTGCTTAGAGAAACTGCTGATCCCTGCACTTTCAAAATCCAAGAACGGAACTGAAATCCCAGCGAGCTGGTTTCTCAACTTACATCAAACACATCCCAGCTATCGCAGGACGTGCAACTAATGTGATCTGAACTGCTTAAAACAGGGTGGTAAAGTCTCCACGCAGACCCTAGAGGATGCTCAATCTGCAATGGAAATGAAAGTGCGAAACTCAAGCTAAATATGATGGAAACTGGTCACTGCAAAGCTCCTTACAAAAACTTGAGGAAACAGAAAAATAAGAAAATAAAAACCTTGAGGCCCATTGGAACACTGGCGAGAATTCTCCACATGGGAGAGACCAAGGGTTACTGGGCGAAGTCATGATGTGCTCTGCAGACATCAGGTACTTAAGACTCTGGTTCAAATCTTTATTTATTTTTTTAAAGAAGAAATAAATGATCTTTTATTTTCTTCCCTGAAGTAAAATGTATTTAAGCTAATCACAGACAGAGATGACTTACAATGTATATCCTTGCCATGTCCAGGTCACAGTATCCTACAATGACAAAAGTATTCAAGCAGTTATTTCAGAAGGAAAATATCGAATAAAATAAAGACCTCATCTTTTTTTTATGATGAACATTTTTATGTAATTTAAAAAAATTTATATATGACAGCAGAATGCATTACACTTCTTATTATACATATAGAGCACAATTTTTCATATTTCTGGTTGAAAGACTTAATTTTTTTTAAAAAAATTAGTTATAGATGTCACAATACCTTTATTTATTTACTTACTTATTTTATGTGGTGCTGAGGGTTGAACCCTCACACATATGAGGAAAGTGCTCTACCACTGAGCTACAACCCCAGGCCCAAAGACCTCATTTTAATATTGGGATTCATGTATACTTTTCCTGAAATTAAAAATAATGCATTGAAAAATGAAACAAGCACATTATTATTAAAAGTGGTGAACTGACCTATGAAATCTTAGAATATGTATCTACATAGCAAAATACCCATCTTCCTATGTCACTATGGATCTTTTTGTGGAAAAAATTATTCTGAATTTTTACAAAAACTAGTACACATGCTTAGCTATTTTCTCCCAATATGAACATATCTAGAAAATGAATTTTCTTACAATAAACAGAATACAATTTATTTACAATAAACAGTTCAAAAAAAAGGAAGGGGTTATTTGGGAGAAAAGATTAAAGTAATGCATATTGAAAGAATTTGAGTATACAGAAAAAAATTCAACCTATAAACAGAGGTGCAAYGAGCAAAAATTTGATGATTCTAATTTTGTTTTTTTATTTTAATTTTGTTCATTTTAATTTCATTTTTCCAAGGTTGAGAAAAGAGCCACTGAATAGAAAGATGGATTGATGGAGAACTGTTAATCTTTTTTAATATTCTTTTTGTAATTGACTCTTATTAGTTATACATAACATTAGGATTCATTTTGACATAATTATAAAAGTATGGAATATAATTTGCTCTAATTCAGTCCCCAGTATTTTCCCTTTCCCTCCCCTCCTCCTTCCCTTGTTCCCTCCCCTCTACTAATCTTTCTGCTTTTTTACTTTTAGGGATTTTTCCAGTTCGTGTCTTGTGGATAGACATGATGGTGAGACTCACTGTGGTATATTCACATATGCACCCGGGAAGGTTGGGTCAGATTCACTCCACTCTCGTTCCCTTGCCTCGTCCCTTCTCCTGCCTCCTCAATCCCTGTCACCTACTCCACTGATCTTTCTTCTATTTTGATGGTATCCCCTATTTCCCTTTCTTTCTCCTTCCCCCACTACCCCCCTGCCATCTTGAACTACCTCTCACATATGAGAGAACATTTGACCTTTGAGTATCTGAATCTGGCTTACTCCACTTAGCATGACCATCCCCAGTTCCATCCATTCACCAGCAAATGCCCTAATTTCATTCTTTCTTAAGGCTGAGTTATACATTTTCTTTATCCATCCATCCATTAAAATGCAGCTAGGTTGGCTCCATAGCTTGCTGTTGTGAACTGTGCTGCTATAAATTTTGATGAGGCTGTACCCTATAGTATACTGATTTTAGATCTTTTGGATACATACCAAGGAGTGGGATAGCTAGGTCATATGGTGATTCCATTCTCAGTTTTTTGAGAAATCTCATATTGCTTTCCAGAGTGACTGTACTAATTTGCAGTTCCACCAATAATATATGAGTGTACCTTCCCCCCACATTCTTGCCAATACATTATTATTTGTATTCTTGATAACTGCCATTCTGAACGGAGTGAGATGGAATCACAATGCAGTTTTGATTGGTATTGTGAATATTTTTTCATATATTTGTTGGCAAATTGTATTTCTTCTTTTGACACATGTCTGTTTAGTTCTTTTTAAAATTTATTCATTTTTTAAATTTTAGGGGAGGCAGTACCGGGGATTGAACTCAGGGGCACTCGACCACCAAGCCATATCCCCAGCCCTATTCTGTATTTTTTATTTAGAGACAGGGTCTCACTGAGTTGCTTAAGCACCTTGCTTTTGGTTAGGCTGGCTTTGAACTTGAGATCCTGCCTCAGCCTCCTGAGCTGATGGGATTATAGGTGTGCACCACTGAGCCCAGCATGTGTTTAGTTCTTTGGCCAGTTTACTAATTGCGTTATTTATTTGTTTGTATTTTTGAGGTTAAGTTTTTGGAGAATTCTCAATCTTAAATAGCATAGATAACTAACAGTTATCTCCTGCTTTTTATATAAATTCTCTAGCAAACAAAGTCCTCTCAGAACCAAAGCATCCCCCCCCCCCAAAGTCTTTGGGAAACAGTGGCACGATCTACATCCAGAGAACAACAACATACCCAGCTGTGTGAAAACAGCATTTCCTGAGCTAACTCTGGACTTTGAACAGGGTGTTAAGTGCTTTCATATATTTCCTTATTTTATCAAGCTACCAGCCACGGGTCACACAGCTCATAAGTACTGAGACAGTAATTAAAGATCAAGCTTCTCTCAAATTTATCCTGCTGTATCAACCCTTCTCCATCAGTAATGACCTCTAAATCAAGAAAAGTCTCCTTCTAGGCTTAATTAAAATTACAAAGTTCCACTATCCTGTCCAGTGAGACCCTACATCTGGGACTTAATCAGACAGTGACAACAGAGGCTAAGAAATGTCTTCCTGAAGCTTCATAATAATAAAACAATACTTAATATTGGTATCAACAATGTGCCTATCTTGAAAACCAGCCACGGCAAGCAGAATGAACCTGCTGATTCCTTCACCATTCATCTATTCTTTTCCTTATTCACACAGGAAAAGGGGTCTGAGAGAGGAGTGCTGTTTGGAATATTTAAATTGCTCCCACAGAAGAACCCTGTGCTTACCAGCTTGTTGGGGTATCTGAGGAGGATGGGCTGCACGGGGACTCCCGGAATGAAGGCTCCTGGAACCACAATGAAATGCTGTCATATGGTTTCCATAGGAATAAAAATGTTACAATAAGAAAAAAATCAACTATAAATGCTATAAGTACGCTGATGGCTTACAAGTACAGATCACAGAATCTATTGCATGTGTTGGCAAATGCCTAGTGTTTACCAAAATGAGGAGTTTTTTAAAATTATGAATCAGTCAAGCAAATATTTAATCCTGTGCTGAAGGCATTTACATATTTCGTTCCTTATTTGTGAGCATTTCCCAAATACCTATTATTCAACAAGATTTGTTTACAAAGCAGTAATGACAAAATCAAGATGAAGAGAAATAAGAATATCTAGATAAAGATAAAGACAACTCCTTGAAGTGAAAACTACCACAGTTGCCAGAAGTGAGCTATCACTTCAGCGATGTGCATTCGAGCAGCCAGACAAAACCGTTAAAAAAAGGTCAAGAGTTATGCTCAGGACCACCTGCCCCGTATTCAAAAGGGAGTGAATCACGGAGGGCATCTGAAAAGCCAGAATAAAACAGGGACTCCACTTCACATCAGAGGACTCTGGGGATATGCAAGTGTTCCTTGGAGAAAAAGAAAATTATCTACAGTTTGTGTGTATAGACACACACACACACACACTCACACACACACACACACACTCACACACTCACACACACACTCACACACACACTCACACAGACCCTATAAGGAAGAAGAGGTTATGATACCAAAAGAGAAAGTGAAGGAGTTAAGTTCTGTGGAATCACATTAAATACTTTTTATCAGATAAAAGGAAATGCTCAGAGCAATCTAAAGCATTACTTTGTGTATTGCTATCTATAATCATTTGAGAAATCTTCCACACTACTTTGTTATAATACATAAATTAATTTATCTCACCTGGTTTAAAAGTAATCAAACAGGAGCGATTAGTACAAGTACCTTCTGGGAAAACTAGTATCTTGGGAGAAAAGGAATAGATTTAATATTTCAGTCTAATGAATAGATTACCTCTTATTCGCTTTCTTATGACTTCACAAACAGCTGCGAACGCTTCGAAAACAAAAATGAAATAAAAAGCTAACACTTGATTCTACTGAAAGCTCGAACCAGATTATTCAATGTTCTTCTAAGAGAAATACAGTTTGGCCATTTAGGTTCTTAGAAAATGAATTTAAGCTTTGAATGGAGAATATGCTTAATTTACAAACATACTACATTTTTCTGAATCATGTTTTTACCAATGATCTGAATAAATTTAAAAGAAATACGGAGGCTGTAAGTCTTGGTCAAAGTATACACTAGGCAAAGCATATTAAATTCCCTCCTCTCAGCTACACATCCTTACCCAAATAACCACCTACTTTGTCTCGGTTTTCCCATTAAATGATGTTCACTCCCACCAGAGTTCATAGAGGTCCTGAGGACAAAGTAGAAAATGGCTTCCTGCTGACCTGAGTAGCCGATGGATGGAATACAACTTGTTATCTGTTTTTTGAGGATGTGTTTTAGCTTTTAATGTATCTCTTTATGTTTTCCATGTGGAGAACAAGAAGTATGATTAGTTCCTCCATTAACCGACTAGATGGCAGCTTGGTTTCCTGAAGCTTTTAAAATTTAGTTATGAGCCAAGTGCTAAGAACATCAAATACAAGTAAAATTCTTGCACTCGATGCAGTTAGTAATATGTATTTTATAACAGAGAGGGAAAAGATTATTGAGTTAAATTGCTATAATTATAGGTTATTTCTAAAATAAAAATTATTATACATGCGGTGTGATTCCATCCTCCAAACTAAAAAATGGGTTTCCTATGAAAGATATAATGTTGTATTCAGTGGAAATTCTACAGCTCCGTCACTAACTAGGAGCAGCCATGGAATGAACCATAAAACCTCAGAGCTGGAAGGGGCATTAGGTCACCCAGCAACAGTAATGTTGGAATGTTTTCTACAATAACCCCATCCGCCCACTCCCGCCCTGGAATAGCGGTTGCTCAGCCAATGCCAGAAAATAGTTCTAGAGATCCCAAAGCAAGACTATTCTTCCTCTGGACAGAAAGAAAGTTCTTCCTCAAAACAACCAAAATGAGGTGAAATCTACCTTTCACCTCCCACCTACTTATTGCAGATATACTTTTTGATCCAAAGAGAAAAATCAAACTCTAATTACAAATGCTATTCTTCTCAATCACTGTTAAATCGTTCCTCAGAAGCCTTGGTTTCTAAAGCCTCCTGGTCAGCCACACTCCTTTGGTACTTTAGCATCTGCATGTCCTCTGCAGGACCATCAGTGTGCTAGAGGTCACCTGTTGTCATCTGGACAAAGATCAAGGGACATTACCATGCAATAAATACTGCCCTCCCTAATCCTCAGCCAGCACTGTGAGGAAGGGCTGCAGAGATGGTGAGGGCTGACCAAGCYTTATGGGTGATTTTGATACACCTTGTGAACTGAGAAGCACCACCTAAATATACTTCAGAAAAGATGAAAGAGCTGGCGGGGCGCGGTGGTGCACACCTGTAATCCCAGTGACTCTGGAGGCTGAGGCAGGAGAATCACGAGTTCAAAGCCAGCCTCAGTAAAAGTGAGGCACTCAGCAACTCAGTGAGACCCTGTCTCTAAATAAAATACAAAACAGGGCTGGGGATGTGGCTCAGTGGTTGAGTGCCCCTGAATTCAATTCCTAGTACCCCAAAAAAGAAAAGATGAAAGATCTGCACCATTTTTTCAGTGAACCCAACATACTGTTGAATAGAATGGGGCTTTGGAATTTCATACTCTAAATTATACGATATAGTCATATTAATTCATGGTGATTAAATTCAGAGATAGAAAAATCACGTTTTATGATGGGGAAGTAGAAATTGGCTGAAGAGTCTGGCAGATAACAGGGATAACACAGTGAAGTCCATGAAGGAGCTCACGCAGAGGAGGACTTCTGATTACTCACTAGTTCATCCACTCTGCTTCCATCTTGCTGAGACACCTGGTGTGGGTGTCCACAGATGTCAGCATCTGTGGATCCACACAAGAAAGTCTACAGATGGGGAGTCAACTCAACATGGCTAAATGACCACTGACTGCCTTTTACCTGGGGCCATTCCCCTCCGGAGGTCGCTCGCTTTACTATTTCATTTATTGTGTTCTTTCGGGAATCCGGATCCACACGGGACACCAACACTGGCTGCACAGCCCGTAAGAGACCTTTAAGATGAACAAAAAATCCAACCAAGCATTTTTTTGACTAAAGCCAGCATAGCAATAGTATAGGATAAAACATAAGACAAATTTTATGCAAAACTAAAATGATAGCAAAGAAAAAACTAAAAAATACTGCAAAGTTTATTAGAACTTAGTTTCTAGTTTCAAAAAGAGAGGTGGACCGTTATGTCTAAAAAGATCTCATGGGCTGGGGCTGTGGCTCAGTGGCAGAGCACTTGCCTAGCAGGTGTGAGGCACTGGGTTCAATTCTCAGCACCACATAAAAAATAAATAAATAAAATAAAGGAATTCTGCCCATCTACAACAAAAAAAAACATTTTTTTTTTTTTTACAAATTTCATTAATGTAACAGAAGTACGTGGAGAGCAGATAATATGAAAAGAGGCAAATACAATTTTTCCCCCCAGTGGTCTTCTGCCTCGACAGACATTAAACCTTTGGAATATTCAAGATTGTCGTGTTGAATTTTAGGAATATTTTGAAAAATGATCATCTAAATTCACAGTGCACATAAGTAGAAGGCAACTTTACACATTTTACTGAAATTTTCAAAAAGTCAGTGTTCTCGACAGCTTCCAACCACACGCAAAATAAGCCTCCATTTAGCAAAAGCTCATTGCTACACACTTTCCAGGAAGATCAAAACACATTACATAAAGCACGGTGGCTACAGTCAAGAAACAAAGTGCCTGGGCTGAAGGACACAGCTTCTAGGACTGCTGCCACTTCTGCAGAGCACAGGGGCCACCTGCACCCCCTCTCCCTTGTCACCTGAGAGAGAATCCTGGACCACTGGGAGCTGTGACTTGGAGACTGATTCCTTAGGGAGGGACCAAAGTATCTGATGGAAAAACACTTCACTTGCTTCATTATTTCTTACGGCAGGAAGCGCTGACTGTTCCTCACCATGATTTTCAGAGGTCTCTCATGGAGTCTCCCAGGGTAACCAGGAAGAAAACAAGAGTTTGGAGAAAAGACTCCGTACGCCTATCAGCCTAACACCCTGAACAGAAATTCATGAAAAAGCACATAAACTGTGCATTGGTTCAATTCTCTCTCAAATAACTAACTAAATAAAACAAAACAAAAAACAAGAATCAGCATGTCCAGTATTTGAACACTGGTCTTCCCCAGCCATAAATAAGAACAAGACAGGATTATATGATAATAAAAATAGGTATTAAAAAGAATGATGAGGCTATAGATTAATAAAGTCTAGCTTTTTTTCATAAATTCATTCTTTCCATATAGGACTTAATTATAAGAAGAAGAAATATGTTGAAATATTTTAAAGTTTTTTTAAAAAATTTATCAAAAAAACCCCAATATGATTATTTTAATTTCAAGCATAAGCATGAAAATATTTCATCTGTTACCTCTCAAGTACTTACTGCCAATCATAGGGATCTGGACAGTTTCATACCGAGACACCAACGAAGGCAGTCCAGACACAATACAGGCAATCCCATCAAAGAAGGACGAATGAGGGGCGACAACAAAAATGGGTGCTTCCAAAGCGCTGGCAGCCTTTCCTTTCACACTCACTTTAAATCCCATGGAAAAGTAGAGGGCGTAACCCAGATACCTCAAAACCAAATGAGTAAGTGTCCTTTGAAAATAAACGCAGAAAAGACATAATTAGCTTTGCTGATCGAAGTTAAGCAGCCTGGCTTCACTCTAAAATACAAGAAAAAAAACCGTGTCAAAGAACTGCATTTTAAAATATAAGCTCGGGAGACGAATAGCTAACACTTACAGGGAACTCTTACTGTAGGTGCCAGTCACTATCCTTGGCCTAATCTATTGAAAAGTAGGTATTATTTGTTTCTATCCCAATTTTACAGGTGACAATAGTGAGGCATGGAGAAGTAATTTGCCCCAGGATATGTAGCTATTAAATCTCTCCATTACTCTGTGACTATAAAGTGATAAAAATGAATTTTAGCTGGGTGAGGCAACACACAACTGTAATCCCAGCGTCTTGGGAGGCTGAGGCAGGAGGAACATAAGTTGGAGGTTAGCCTCAGAAACTTACCTAGACCCTAAGCAACTTCATGAGATCCTGTCTCAAAATTAAAAAAAATAAATAAAAACTGAGGAAGAATCTCAGTGGTAAAGTATACCTGGGTTTAATCCCTACTGCAAAAAAAATARATAAAATTTATTTTTAATTAACACATGTTCCCCACTGAGACAACCAAATCAGTACTGCCCTTCAAAAGTAGCCAACTTAGGAATCTCTATTTGTGTCATGAAATTGCTGCCATCTCCTCAACACTTTTAGACCCGTCACCTGAATTTGTCCTCAGAATTACTTTAGGAGTAATTCTTAGAAGCAAATCTCATCTGCATTGCTTAGCCCTTTGACATCATCATGAATCTTCAGAAGCAGGGGCTGGGGACACAGCTCGTGACAGAGTGCTTGCTGAAGTGCTGGAAGGCCCTGGCTTTGCTCCCCAGCAACCCCCATGCTTCAGGAAATAAATTTGTATCTTGAAAACAACTTCAGAAATGAATTTACCATCTTACTTCCATGGACCAGAGAGGCACCTAAGGGATTCCAGAAATCTAGTTGTTTACTTTTTAAAATTAGCCATTGGAGACTAATTTTCATTAAAATCCTGCCTGGGCCCATGGTGGACACCCAAGACAGGTAAAAGAAATCTCCGACTTGATAAGCTTGCCGGAGGAGGAAAGCCAAGCAGATTCCCAGGAGCACAAACACAGACTGGAGATTTTTGTAAATGAATTAAGCATACAGCTTTTCACGAGAAGTAAAATAAAATATGCACAGTTGTCCCTTGGTATCCATGGGCAACCCTTGTGGATAAAAAGTCTTCAAATGCTCATGCCTTTTAAATAATATGGTGTATAATAATATCTGTGTATAACCTTGACTTTAAATTGCCTCAGCCTATTTGTAAGATCTAATCCGTGTAATTGCTACGTGAATAGGTAGTAAACTGCATTGTATAGGGAATAATAACAAGTAAAAGAGTCAGCACTTGTTCAGTACAGATGTGTTTTTCCGATATCTTTGATCCACAGTTGGTTGAATCTGCAGATGTGGAGGGGTGACTGCATACTGCTTGCAAGGTATCTAAGGAGAGCAATCAAAAATGGGCTTCTGACCTACGCCAACTTTCTGGTGATAATACAGTGAGGAATTATCAGCAGCTAGCCTCTGGGGAAGTCTGTGACTTTTATTTCTTAGCAAGAAGTGAGACACAGAAAACCAAAGTACTTTTCCAAAGAGCTCCAGAAATAACACAGCTCTCCTCTTCCCCTTTAGTTTGGACAGGAAATCTCTATTCACACATGGGTATGAAGTGCACCCCTTCACCAACTTTCAAACATTTCCAAGTATTCCTATTCAGCGCCATTAGACACTGACATTTAAATGTTTTAAACATTAAAGTCTGAGGCCACATAGTAACTTCAACATTGCCTGTTTGAGGGGAGTTAGTGAAAACTATTTTCACAGAGAAAGGTAAAACTTTATTTTCTACTATTTTTTATATTTTCTTTCTGGATTCTGAAGGCTACTTCTCCCATCCTCCTAGGCTTACATAAGCCACTAACAATAGAAACCAAAGAGATAATCTGAAAAAAAAAATTGGAGAATCATGAGAAACGTCCCTTGAAGTGTTGTCTTCTCCTGCACAACCTTGAATTATGACACAGAACATCATGATCTGCCAGCACGGGGTCCATCTCCACTTCAAACCAGCCTCGTGTTTGCTATTGACATTAGTTCACTAGAACATGCACTGAACAGAAAACTGCACATCCTTAAAAGTTTCTAGAACAGTATTTCTCAAAATTTTTGGAGGACGTATCCACATTTGAGATTTGGATTAAGGAACATATCCTTGTGTGATGGGGAAGGAAAATCAGTGCAAAATTTCAAGAGAGCTCGCTAGTGTCCTAAAACAGATCTATGGATTTGGAATCCACATCAGGAAGCCCCATATTGATGACACACAGGTGGCGACCATTTGGCTCTGCCCAACACAAATGAACGTTCATCAGCAGCTTCATTCATTAGGATTAGTCTGTTCTCTGATGCCAACCTAACTGTGGCAGAATGGAAGTCTAACATAAAATGTTAACATCTGGAAGAGTTAGACTGCATTAATGATTAAGCTGTATTAATGATAATCACTAAAGAAATTAAGGAAAAATAATATAATTGATACACTTATATGTCCCTGCAGAAAGCATTTTGTTACTGTGGGGAGACCAAAGCAATTGTGAAAATAGGAAAAGCAAAATATAGCAAACTATTTTACAGTTTCAATATTTGCAGGTATACTGGTGCTGGGGTTGTGGCTCAGGTGGTAGAGTGCTCGCCTGCACATGTAAGGCACTGGGTTTGATCCTCAGCACTGTATAAAAATTAAAAATAAAGAAATATATGCAGGTATACTGATTGACTATCAGAAACAGGGATCTCTCTCTCTTTCTCTCTTTTTGTACCAGGGATTGAGCTCAGGAGCGCTTAATCACTAAGCCACATCATCCCCAGTACCACCCAGGCCCTTTTTTTCCCCATTTTATTTACAGACAGGATTTCATTAAGTAGCTTAGGGCCTTTGTAAATTGCTGAGGCTAGCTTTAAACTTGCAATCCTCCTGCCTCAGCCTCCCAAACCACTGGGATTACAGCATGTGCCACTAGGATTATCATTTTGGCAATAATTCAGAAAACAAAGTTTTTTAACATAAGAAAATTATAACGTCAACAGATGATTAACAGAAATGTGTTTGGGCAGTAATTTCTACATAAATTAAGGTCCGTTTTATCAAAGAAATGAATTATTAAATTTGGGTAAGTTAAATAAAAATACTCATCAGTGATTTTTTTGTCATCTGGATCTACCTGATATCTGGACTACGTGTTTCTTACCGTCTCCAGTCGGTCACTGGGTAAGTCGGCTTCTCGGGACAGCAAGCTATGAAAGCGGCGGCAAATGGCCAAGATAATAAGAAAAGCAATCCAATCAAAATGAGCCGAAGTGGGAGCAGGACGATTCCAAGAAGGAAAGCCTGAAAGTCAAAGTGGATAAAAACAGATCGAATGACGTCATTTTAACATGTTGCTATGGAGCYGAAACACGCAATAGGAGAGCTTAACGCTATTCATGCATCTACCCACCGATGAACTGGGTACTGTGCTGCCCACATGAGAATGTAAGAACAGAGAAGAACAAGCCATGGCGTTTGACCTCACAAAGCCAATCATGTACTGAAGAAATAGTGATGAAAACCTGAAGAAAGCTTGATCTGTACACTGACCAGAGTGAATAGAGAGGCTGAGGGGACAGAGAAAGGAGTGTCTGGTTTGGCAGTCAGGGAAAGCTTCCTGGAGGAGGTGCTGAATGGTCTTGCAAGACAAGCAAGTACTAGCAAGATAAGAGGGAGAAAGTGTTATCTGACAGCTACAGGTTGAAGGAAGAATGTGAATGGAGGCACCAGAGTACGAGAAAGTGAGTGTGCTATTGAATATGCCTGCCGGCCCTAACAATAAGGAGATCGAGGAGGAGAAAATAAAAGAAAAAATAAGTAATGCAAATAAGAACAGCAAATCATACATGAATGCTTCCTACAGGCTCGGGCTATAAACACTGGCATGTAGTAATTCATTTAACTGCAATCTGATGTCAAAGACAGAAGTGGTACAGAGGGTTAAATTAAATTACTTAATAAGATCATATAGTTAGTAAATGGCAGAACCAGGATCTGAACCCAGTTTGGTGGCCTTTGCTTATACCACACTGCCTTTCAAGGGAAATAAATTCTCCTTAGGTATAATGCACTGTCTTTTTTTTCACATAAAAAATTACACTATCTAACAGTGCCTCTTTCTATCTCTACTAGCTCTTATGTCATCAAATAACTTATAAAAAATGCAAAAAGTATTCTGGTTACCGGATCTCTGCCAAGCTATTTGAGTGCATGTGTATGTCTGGTTCAAACATACATAAAAGAAAAAGGTCAGGTCTTCACTGTGTAATTCAGTGACCCTGATCTTGATCGGCATGTACTCATGTAATTGCCACCCAAGTCAACACATGGAACATACCTACCACTCTGGAAAGCCAGCTTGTGCCTCTTCCAGTCCCTGCCTATGCTCTTGGGCAACAGAGGATGAATTTCTGTCACCACAGCTTAGACTGATGTATTGTTGAATGTCACACAAATGGAATCATGTGACGTAACCTTATATGGCATTCTCCCTCCACTTAACATATTTCTTGGTTCAACTCTGTTTTGCATAACAATAATTCATTCTTTTGGACTGCAGAGTATTATCCCACTGTATAACCCTTTGATGATCTGTTCACTGATAAAGCCACTGTGAACACTCTGATACACACCTTTCTGTAAATATATGTCTTCAGTTTTCTAGGAGTGGAATTGCTGAGCCATAGATGTTAATTAACTTTATAAGGAACTAACAGTTTTCCAAAGTAGTTGTATCATTTTAAAGTATCACTGGCAGTGTGTGAGAATTACATTGCTGTATATCCTGGCCAATCATTGTTGTTAGTAGTTATTTGAAAAATCAACTTGTTAAGGGACAATTTATATAAAATAAAAGACATCTCTTTTAAACTCTATATATTATGAGTTTATCAAGGGCATAGACCTATGAGTATGAATTAATATAATCTATTCATTCATCTATCCTTCTGTCGACACCCAACTGTCTAATTAGTGTTATTTTGAAATAAATCTTGAAATCAGGTTGTATGTGACATACAACTTTTTCTGCTTCAACATTTTTTGGGGAGTAAGGTGCTCTAGATCCTTTACACTTCCACATAAATTTCAGAATTAATTTATCAGCTTGCCAGACAAAATCAAATCTGTTAGGATTTTTATTGGGATTTCAATAAATCTATAGACAAATCTGGAAGGAACTGTCCTCTTAATAACATTGGTTCTGACGGTTCATAAACATGATTTATTTTTCCACTTACATGAGTCTTCATTAATTTCTTACAGCAATATTTTGTTGTTTTCAGTGTAGTAGTCTTACAAGGTCTTGGTTAAAAGCATTAAGTATGTAAGGTCATTTTATTGTTATTATTGTTATTGTTATTATACATGCGATTATTTAATTTCATTTTACAACTGTATCCTCGTAAGGTATAGACATAAAATTGATTTTAAGTTCTGATCTTATTTCCTATGACCTAGCCAACTTGATTTATTAGTTCTAGTGGTTAGTTGTTTTGTAGATTCCTTAGAAAAGTTCTTCATACACAACCATGTGCTCATCTCTGAATAAAGACAGGTGTACACTTTTCTTTCTGGTCTATATGCTTTCTTTACTTTTTCTTGTCTTATTGCACTGACTAGCATCCCTAGTTCAGTGCTGAATAGAAATGGTGAACAAGATAATTGCCTTGTTCCCAACCTTTGGGGAAACCATTATATTAACAGGAAGTACTTCATAAATATCCTGTATCAGGTTAAAAGTTTCCTTTTATTCCTCCTTTATTGAGAACATTTTTTATTATCATCAGTGGGTGTTGAATTTTATCAAGTGAGCAACAAAATTTCTGTATCTGAGAAGATCATAGATTTTTACTATATCTTCTGCTAACAAGGTAAATTACACTGAAATTGAAATTTTGGTATGTTAAATTAACCTTGGATTACTGAGACAAATCAAACTTGGAATATATGTGATATATTATACTTCCCAAATATTTTTGTATCTGACCTGATTTTGTTAAGAGATCTTATATCTAAAACCATGAAAGATATTGGTCTATAATTTTCTTGTAATATCTTTTTCAGATTTTGGTACTGAGGTGATGCTAACCACATAAAACTTGTTGGGAAGTATTCCACCCTTCTCTACTTTCTGAAAGAACTTGTGTAAGTGTTTTATTGTGCTCTTAAAAGTCTGACAGAATTTATAAAGTGAAATAATCTTGGCAAGGAGTTTTCTTTAAATGTGTGTGTGTAATTCAAATTCTTTCATAAAGATCTAGTCATATTTTCTAGTTCTTCTCTTCATTTTGTTGTACTGGATGGATTCTCGTCCTTTCCTACATGTTTCAAGTTTTGATAATAATCTCTTAATAGTCATTTAATCTGTAATGAAATATGTTTTTTTCATTCCTGATACTGGTAATTTGTATTTTCGCATTTATCCGTCTTGGTGGGGATATAACAATTTTCTTAACTTATTCTATTTTATTAGTATACCAACCAAACATTTGATTTAGTTGACTTTCTTTGTGGTTTGCTTTCAATTTCATCTCTTGTATTCATGTTCTTGCTTTGAGTTACTTCTTGTGTAATTTATCATCCTCCTAGCTTCTGGAAGTGAGAACTTAAAATCATTACTTTTAAAACTGTAATTTTATTTAAATCTGTTCATTTACCTTTATACATTGCTTTCCCTGAAACCCATAATTTTGGTATTTTGGATTTTCATTTTCTATTTAGCTTAAAACATTTTAAAATTTTCATTGGTGATTTCTTTTTTGACCCAGGAACTCTTTTAAAAGTGTTCGGTTCGATGTCTAAATATGTGGGCAGCTGTAATGTTAAACAAGTGCCTCTGATGGTTTTTCAAAACACACTGAGAAAAGGCTGTGCTGGATGAGCCCCACTGCAGGTCCAAAGAAGCCTTGCAAATGTAGTCATGCAGGCAGCCACCAGCCAGGGCAGATGATGACATTTCTCTGGGAATGGTTCTCTAATGGAGTCCCAACCTTATTCTTTTCCCTGTAACCACCACAGGGGAGGCAGGGTTACCGTGTGTGATCAGCTTCTTTAACCCTCTAGTTTTTCCTTCCTTCCAGAACCCCTGAAGGCTCTTGTGCAAATACAGTTTAGGGATTTGCTGAGAATGTAGGAGTAATTTACATGCCAATTAAGGGGCTCCTTCCTCTCTAGCTTCCTCCTTTCTGGTACTTCCTTCCTCAATTTCCAGTCACTCTGACTGCCATGAACTCTGTTCTCTGTCCTCTCTCACAAAAGACCTATAAGACTGAAGCTTTCTACCAATCCCTCCCATGGTATCAAGAGAGAATCCTGGGGGAAAAAAGAGGGGACACAGGGAAATTTCACACAGTATAGGAACAAATCTCCTCCAGCTTCTGTCTTTTTTTTTTTCCTCCAGTGTACCTTCATATAGTTTCTTATAGTCTGATCAGGACTAATCATTGTAATCTATGAGAAGATTTGTCCAGTTTAAGCTACTACTACTCCACCATCCCTGGGACCAGAACTAACCCTGTTAAATTTCTTCACCTGAAAAACTGACTTATGAATACAGTAAAACTTAGCTATCATTCTATTTTCTGTAAGATAAATTATGAATAAGCAAGACATGGAGGAGCTCCAGAACTATTACTAGGAGAGATCTTGTTTGGCCTTTATTGCACTAACACATGGAATTATATATTTTGTACTTGTTTTTTTAACTTTCTCAGTGAAACGTAAGCGTTAGATGAGCAGGCCCTATTTCTGTAACTCACTGCTATATCCTCAGATATTAGTACTGCACCTAGTAGAGGCATTCAACAAATATTTTTGGTCTGAATGAATGGCCCCCAAATTACAACCAAAAACTCATTTCAATTCTGCTCTCAATTGAGGACATAAAAAGGAAGCTACTTTTTTTTCCATGCCACAAAATAACAAACTCTTAAGTAGTCAAAAAATGGACCAGGGATGAAATTAAGCCCTATAATGAGTTCCAAAAGTGACAACAGTTCTTAAGTAAGACACTAGTCATCATTCATTGTCTGATTTGAATCTGAGTGAATCCTCTTAAGTATTAATTTGTCATTCTTGAATGAAAGTATGTCCATCCTTTAAAATAAATAATACAGACAACACTGTTCTCAGTCATTACTCTTTACTGGCTAAGGTTGTGGCTCAGTGGTTAAGTGTCTCCGGGTTCAATCTCCCACACCAAAAAAATTAAATAAAAATAAAAATAATTTTTTTCATCTTTACTCAGAACGTTCAAGCCATTCCAACATCTTTGGTATCATTCATCAAGAGAGATTTAAAAAATTTAATAATCAGACCATGTTCAACTCATTCAATCTAAGCAAATTTTAATAATATATATAATTTATAGACAACTAATAGCATAATGATCAATATTAAGATCAGCATACATTACGTCACTTAATTCTAACCTTCCTTTGAGGTTTATTATTTCAATTTAATAAAAGAGTAGTTCAGGGAGATTAAGTGACTTGGCCAAGTCACAAATACTGAAGTCTTCTAAGACTAGTGCCTCTCAATCTATCACAGCTCTTATAAGAGTCCTTTCAAAGCATTCTAAACAGTCACAGACCAGGTGATTAAAAACAGACAACAACAACAACACCACACACCAAAATTAGTAATCTACTGTAGGTGCTATACAAATATTTATAAGTATGTCACATTGAATCTTGCTCCAAAATAGGAAGCCAACAGGTGAACATACTTTCCATTTACACATGACTGATCTGACTAAATTTAATCCTGAATGGTCAATATATTTAGAAGTGCTACAGCCATGTCAAGCTACCAAAGGAACATCTGTCCATTTAAAGACACAGCTCAACTTTTCAAACTAGTTTCTTTACAAGGAGGTATTACTATGACTCTTCCTTTCTCTTCCTCTCTCATACTCTTTTCAACCAGACATCTACCTCCCATTATCCTACCATCCCATACTGCTTAGCTCAGCACTAAACTTGCCCTCACTGGACAGCACAATAGTCTCAGCTGTGCATACAAAAAGAATTCAAAATTACACTCCTTCGATTCAAAATTACACTCCTTCGATCCAAAATAATGAAATCTGTGAGACAGACAGGGAAAGAAAATAAAAATAAAAAAATTGTTCCCCTGCAGGACACACAGGACAAGTATATCTTGCAGAGTCTATCTTACTCTTCAATCAATAATTTCATCAAGAGGAAGTCCAAAAAGSGAGACTGCGTAAAAGCAGTCCTTTTCAGATAAGGGAAGGAAAGCAAACTTCCTTTGTGGGAACAGCTACTTTTAACAGTGGCTCCCCCTCATCCTCGAATCTAGGAAAAGTGTTTGGGCGAAAGCTGATGGAAGATGGGAAACCCTCAAACGCCCTAAACGGATACGTCTAATAAGTCACCCCTCTTTCTCGAGTCTGAATTTCTAGCCAGGATGTCCCAGCTCAGCTAGATCATTCCAGCCTTACCTGTTCTACCTCCACACCTGTTCTAACTCCCAGCCTTCTCCCTCCTTACTCATCCCAAGGCAAAAGGAAAAAAAAAAAAAAAAAAAAAAACCCTCCCCCAAGCCCACTCTCCCGAGGTAGGTCTGCCTCCACCTCCTCCCGGGACTCAAGTCCAATCCAGCCAGATCGCCCAGCTCGGGCAAGGTGGGTCTCCGCCTGCTCAGCCTCTTGGCCTCCAGAGGCTCCTCTCAGACCTGCCTCCTCCGCACCTGCGCTTCTCCCGCCCCCAGCGTCCTCCACCCCCAGACCCGCGGCCCTCGGACGCCCCCGGGGGCTGCCCCCTTTCCCGCAGGCCGCGCCCTCGGTCACCCGCGCCCCGCCGCTCACCTGCAGCAGCCTGGCCGTGCCGAGCCCCGTCTGCTGCACGAAGGGGTTGGGCACCGGCGGCGGGATGAAGGACGCCTGGCGGGGCACCATGGGCGGCCGATGCTCTGCGGCCCCGACGCCCGAGCCTGGCACGGTGGCCGCCACCGCCGCCGCCTCGGAGCACCGGTTCATGGCCGAGCTGGGCGTGGGACCCGAGCGCAGAGAAGGAAGCCGAGCKCGCGGGCCAGCGCCCCAGCCCAGACCCAGCCGCAGCCCCTCAGGAGTCCCAGCCCGAGGCGCCGCTCGGGGCCCTCTGCGCACGCGCCAAAATTACCTAGGCGCCGGCTGCCCCGCCCCTGGGCTGTGGCCCCGCCTCCCTTAGGTACCTGGCTCCTCCCCTTCAGTAATCTAGCCCCGCCCCTCGGAGATGACTGCTTTCTTTCAGCCAGATGACTGTGAAGGGTAGCTTTGTAACCTTAATGCTCCAACCAGGGACACTTGAGGCGGAGTTCTCTGCTTTAGGGTCAGGCAAATCTGGGGTTTCACTTTGTCTTAGTGTTCTGGCCATGAGCTGTGTTCCTGATCCTCACTGCCTCCTGTAAATCCAACAATGAGGAGCAACACCTTCCCCTGGGCTGTTCCAGCAAGTGAACTGAAATCACTAGGGTGCTTAGCTCTTGTGTAAACCAGTTTGAGTTCCAAGTTTCTAGGCTAATATAGACATTCATACCAGGGAAGGAAAATGCTCCTCATAAATCTTATGGAATGACTGGGGAATGGTTCCCCAGAGGATGTAACGGAGCTGCTGCTAGAAAAGGCAAAAACAAGTTGACTTCCACTGTAGATGAGGAACCTGACTGAGAAAAAGGGAACGATTTGGGTGTGGCTCCATTTCAACCTGAGGAAGTACAGGGGCCTGTCTGGATCTTGATGGGTGAGGGCCTGGGGACACAGGGGTTKTTCCAGGACCTGAGACCAATGGATTGATCTCCGATCGGCTAGAGTGAAAGAATGAAGATGGCTCTTCTGGGTCTCTTATTTTTCCAAATAAATTTCATGATTGCTTTTTCTATTTCTATGAAGAATGTCATTGGCATTTTAATAGAAATTGCATTAAATATGTATAATGCTTTTGGGAGTAGGGCCACTTTGACAATATTAATTCTGCCTATCCAGGAACATGGGAGATCTTTTCACCTTCTGAGGTTTTCTTCAATTTCTTTCTTTGGGGTTCTATAGTTTTCATTGTAGAGGTCTTTCACCTCTTTTGTTAGATTGATTCCCAGGTATTTTATTTTATTTGAGGCTATTGTGGATGGGGTAGTTTTTTTCTGATTTCTCTTTCAGTGGATTCATTACTAATATATAGGAATGCATTTGATTTATAGCTGTTGATGTTATATCCTGCTCTTTCTTTGCTGAATTCACTTATTAGTGAATAAGAAGTTTTCTGGTGGAATTTTTTGGGTCTTCTAGATATTGAATCATGTCATCAGCAAATAGTGATAGTTTGAGTTCTTCTTTACCTATTTGTATTCCTTTAATTTCTTTCTTCTGTCTAAATGCTCTGGCTAGAAGTGATAAAAAAGAATAGAAGTGGTAAAAAAGGATATCCTTGCCTTGTTCCAGTTTTTAGAGGGAATGCT